CGTTGTCAGTGAGGAGGTATCGATATGGCTCTTGCAGCTAAAGGTATCAAGGTTATGTGGTGGGTGGGGTGGGGGGCACAGAAATGGGATGGGATGGAATTGCAGTATTGAGCACGATAATCGACAATGATCATATTAAATGAAGAAGCAGGCTCGAGGGATTAAAAGGCCTACTCCTGCTCCTATCTGCTATTACCACCTCCCCAGCGGAAATTAAGGATGGCAAAAGATATGAGCATTGCCTGTGATACTTGCTAGGCTATACAAATAAAAATAACGAAGAGTAGTTTCGTATTAACTTCCAATCACAAACTGTCTCCTTCCATAACCTGTATTTGGCTAATAGATTGCAAATCTAAAATAAAGCTCCATTAATGACTTTGAGAATGCGCGTGCATGCACGCACGCATGTGTGCATGTGCAAGAGAGAGATATTAGCTAATAGCAAAATTGAATTTGAGGTTAATATTTTAGTGAATCAAGTGTGGGTTGTCCATTCTACCGATGTGTAATTAAAATATTTGGGGGAGGTCCGTGAAGTATAATTTAGGGATTAAAGATAGTGAATAAATAAATCAAATGTGGAAAAACAACAAGGCAGAAAATCAAAGTCCAAGAGCTTGGAGATAGTAAGGACTGCAGATACTGGAAGCCAGAGTCAATAGATGTGAAGCTAGAAAAGCACAGCAGGTCAGACAGCATCCAAGGAGCAGGAACATCAATGTTTCGGCCTGAAACATGACTTTCCTGCTCCTCAGATGCTGTCTGACCTGCTGTGCAAAGCCCAAGATCTACCTGAAATGGTAGAAATGATGAATAAATATTGATAGTTCAGTGGGAAAGAAATGTCTTGATCAGAGTCATACAGTCATACAGCACAGAGAGCGAGCCTTTGGTTCAACTCGTTCATGCGACCAGGTTTCCTAAACTGAACTAGTCCTTTTTGCCTGCATTTGGCCCATATCCCTCTAAACCTTTCCTATTTATATATCTGTCCAAAGGTCTTTTAAATGCTGTAACTGTACCTGCATCACTACTTCCTCTGGTAGTTCATTCCATAAACAAACCACTGTGTGAAAAAGTTGCCCCTCACGGCCCTTTTAAATCTTTCCCTCTCACCTTAAAACAATGCCGTCTAGTTTTGAATTCCCCTACCCTAGGGAAAAGACCTTTGCTATTCACCTTATCAATGCCGCTCATGATTTGATAAACTTCTATAAAGGTGACCCCTCAATCGCCTACACTCCAAGGAAAGAAGTCGTAGTCTATCCAGCCTCTCCTTATAACTTAAACCCTCCAATCCCAGTTAACTTCCTTGTAAATCTTTTCTGCACCCTTTCTAATTTATTAACATCCTCCCTATAGCAGGGAGACCAGAATTGTACACAGTATTCCAAAAGTGGCCTCGATGTCCTGCATAACTGCAACATGACATCCCAACTTCCTATACTCTATGCTCTGACCAATGAAGGCAAGTGTGCCAAATGCCTTCTTCACCACCCTGTCTATCTGTGACACCACTTTCAAGGAGCTATGTAGTTGAACCCCTGGGTGTCTCTGATAAGACTCCACAAGCGATGCTATTTGCTTGTAATATTACAAATATTGCTGCTTTTGTGCTATTTTAAGCAATTATCTGTCTCAATTAAGACAGTGATTTTTTGCCATTACTAAATACAAATCAAACAAGCTTGGAGTCTGATACATGTAAAAGGTTGGGGGTCATGCTGATTCAAGACTTTGACAGCTAGACTGGTAAGATCATTGAATGTTTTTTGTTGAGTTCTTAAAGAAGGGTCCTATTGGATTCAAAACATTAACAACATTGCTCTTGCCACAGAGGCTGTTAGATCAAAAAATGGAAAGTAAAACTGAGCTTATACCAACAGTTCTCAAAAGCTATAGTGTTAATTGCACTTGTTTAATTTTTCTCAAAAATGTAATTAAGTTTATGTTGTTCAAAAACAAGAAATCTTATGGCATAGTTTTGTCAGTTAATTGCTAGATGGTTGAATTTCTTCTTTAAACAAGAATATCCCAACAGGATTGCAATACACAAATAAAACTAGGAGAGGAGCTAACTGCTTTGAATTGCACTTGGAAAAGTGAACATTTAAATACACTTCACAGAAAGTATTTGAATATTATTTGAAAGTAAAATATACAAGACTAAACAATGATTAGAAGCATATAAATGCATTAAAAATTATTAATAAGACTTACCTGGTGAACTATGCTGCCTCGTAGAGACAGAAGGAAATGAGAAATAATTTCTTTGTTCTCCATCATCATCCGATATAGCAGGTACCACGTTCAAACCAGGAAGTAATAAAGGATTATTAATTAATCCAGAAAGTGAAGGAAATCGTACAAAGACCATTTGTCTATTTGGAGAAAACAAAGTGTTGTATATTTTAATTAAGTAGCAAGTCCTTTAGAATCTGTAAGATGATAAAACTAATCCACTTCAAGTTTAGTATTGAGGGTACAGTATTTTAGCAACTTGTTCTACGAATGTTTGGCATTAAAATTCAGTAAAAATGCAATACTCCCTAGTTCTTTCCACTGATAGGTCAGAAGACTTATATTTGTCCTCAGAAATTCAAAGAATCACCAGCATTATAGACTACCATTAGCATTGAGGTACTCCAACATGAGCGTCCGAATGGCAGCAGATGGAGTAATATCCATCATTTCCTATCACTTAATTAGTCTCCGATATTTGGAGGTGAAGTATTTCTTGAAAAAGAAAAAGAAACCTGGGTTGCAAGACATCCAAGGAAGTCCTTACACAGTCAGTTCTGCTATAATGTGTGTTTTGGCAACACATACTGGCTGTAATGCGACTGACGAATCAGGGAATGCTTTGCTAAAACGTGAACTTGTGTTGGCTATAATGAAATTCCATCAGTGCGCAGAGAAGTATGTGTCAACATCACATGATCTTTTCGCAGGCTTTGTCCTAAGCATGCACCATAAGAGATAAAGCCTTATCAACTTACGAAGATCTAACAAAAAAAAGCTGAAAGTCTGCAGATATGCCTGCCTTTAATGCTAGCAGTGCCTGGTTTGCTGATTTTAAGAGATACTTTGCTTTTCATAACAAAGTTATGTGGTGAAGCGGTCAGTGCAGACAAGGAGCGTATGACAGCATTTCCTTCCATAGTAAAAAAAAATTAATTGATGAACAAGGCTACAAATTAGATCAATTTTTTAATTTGGATGAGACAAGTTCATACTGGAAGCGAATGCTATCAAGAACCTACATGCTCCAGGCTTTAAGGTGGCAAAGGATCATATGACTGCGCTGCTGGGTGCCAAAGCCAGTGGAGACTTAAAGCTTAAGCCTGTGGTGGTGTACCACTCTGCCAACCTGCCAGCCTTGAAAGGGTTACAGTACCTTAAATGTACTCTAGGTGTCTACTTTAGGTCAAGCAAGAGGGGTTGGATGACAGGGCAAATTTTTTTCTGACCTTTTTGTTGATATTTTGCAAGTTGTTATTAGAATGTATTCAAGGAAAAAAAATCTGGATTTCAAGATTCTCCTCATTCTTGATAATGTGCTGAGCCATTCTCCCCCCATTGGTGAGCTTTCTGAAAATACCAAGTGCTATTTCTACCCACAAACACAACCTCTCTCCTTCAACCCATGGACCAGGGTGTAATAAGGAGTGTTCTTCAATTTTGGAAGAGCTTTAACATCAAAAAATGCAACTGCCATTGTAGAGGACTGGGGTGATATCAGTAAGGACTATTTGCATGCAGTTTGGCAGAAGCTTCTCCCAGATCTTTTTCAAGATTTTAAAGGCTTTCAGCTCTCGGAGGAGCTCCCAAGAATCAAAAAACATTGTGTTGATCTTGCAAAGCAAGTTGGATTTGAAGAAGAGCTGCTCACGTCTCACTGTGAAGATCTCTCTACAGCTGATCTACAACTCGTCACTGAGGGGCAAGTGGAAGCTGGAGATGGAGCACCATGAGAACTTTCCACTTCTGTTTTGTCTTCTATCCTGAGGGAAATTGAGAAGCAGTTGCAGCTCTTACAGGACAATGATTACAATGCAGAATGCAGCAGGGTATCAGTTTGTGGAATATGATTTGGCACCCTATGAGCAGCTTCTTTATGAAAGAAGAACAAGGGCACAGCAGCAAAATTTTTAAGCCAACCCCAAGAAACAGTCAGAAGACAATGAACCATCCACTTCCAGACTAACTTTTCTACACCCTAACCCTACAACCACAACTGCACCTGAAGGTGGTGATGACGACGACAACAGCAACGCTCAGCCCCTGCATTAACAAGAGAGGCACCTTAAAACCTCCTCTCCCCTCAAGTCATCTTGACATTTTTCAAGATAAGGTGTTAAATTTACTTTTATTTCATTATTAGTTACGAATTAAACATTTATTCAAACTATGTTATCCTTTGTGTTAGGCTTTTGACTGATTTTTGAGTGATTTTGAGTGATATTTTTGGTGGTCTACCCTAACCCTGCTTTTTCCATAGGTCCCATTATTTCTATAGCATGATTTTCTATAATGCGATGTTGCACAGGACGCAACTATCGCGTTATAGCAGAACCGACCGTAATCAGAATGCCATCACTCTTAAGGCCCGAGCATTCTTGGGCCTTATTAATGAATGATCTGTGGCGTGAACTGCATCAGATACATAGGTAAGTGGCAGAAGGTAAAACCCTTACCAGTTAGATACAGAAAAATATCAATGTTGCGACATCCTCCTGCAGTTTTTAAAATGAAGCTCACCTTTTAATTTAAAGACGCTGATGCTGCCATTGAAATGTAGAATCCCAGAATGCTGTCCCTTTTAAGGTTCTTTGGCCTTGGTAGCATAAGTTTCATACTTTTGCTCTCCCTCCTCAGCCTTACTGGTTTTGATTGTAAAGTAGTTACAAAGTTGTAACCAGGAACAACATTTATAAAACACATTTATTGCCTTCAATCATTTCAAACTAAACAGGAAAGAAAGGAAGCAAGCTGGTCATGTGAAAGGTGAATTGTATAAGCAGTATAATTTAAATGGAATAATGCAACAAAACACCAACAAATACTCAATTTAACTCCTTCAGCCAGTTTACCATATAATGAGCTCATTAGGTGATCAGTGGTCTAAAGTCATATTGTCCCATTTCCCTTAGTACCTTTGGATAATAATGTATGAAAGTCAGCCTGTAGCTTGGCCATAATAAAATAATAAAGATGATACTTGCTTGTATTAGTGGAAAGAATAAATCTCAAATTGCATAAATAGTTTACATGTAAGAGATCCGCTGGATCCCAAATGTAGTGATGTATGCTGTTCTGGGCATCTTTTCGTATGAGGTTATATTACTGCCTTTGAGGAACAGGGACTCAAGCATGAAAGAGGAGTCCAAGTATTTACAGTTCATGTTATGTAGAAATCTTTAGCTGATTTTCTTTCTTCCTGGTCTTCCACATACAATAAGGTAATTTATTTTAAAAAGACAAGAGATAGGTGACTATGATTTAGTGTTAATCCAGCACCATACACAGATTTGACAAAATGTATATTCTTTTGCTCTGATGTATCTAAACAGTAATACTTGAAAGTAACATTATTGAGGCTGCTCCATGAACTTATTTAGTGAGAAAAATCCATACTGGCCCATGCGGTTGGTGACTGCATTCTGCCAACATGTTTGTTTCCAACTATTTCTAGATGTTCATGGCCAGATCCTCACACCCATTCCATGAAGGTTAAAAATTATGCTTCCTTCAAATTATAGAAGAGTCCAATTCCCTAGACTATGGCAGCTAGAGAAAAGTATGTTTTTGGTTTCCACATGTACACAGTTCCATAGCCTGGAAAATATAGATGCAAGAGATTCATTGATTCATTCATGTGTCTTTGCATTTACAGTGGTAGCCAGGTTATTTGAGACATCATAGAGTCAGAGATATACAGCACAGAAACAGACCCTTCGGTCCAACTTATCCACGCCGACCAGATATCCTAAATTAGTCTAGTCCCATTTGGCAACATTTCGCCCATATTGCTCTAAACCCTTCCTATTCATATACCCATTCAGATGCCTTTTGAACGGTGTAATTGTACCAGTCTTCTCCACTTCCTCTGGCAGCTCATTCCATACATGCACCATCTTCTCTGTGAAAAAGTTGCCCCTTAGGAATCTTTCCCCTCTCACCTTAAACCTGCGCCCTCTAGTTTTAGACACCCCCGCCCTGGGAAAAAGACCTTGTCTATTTACCCTAGCCATGTGCTTCATGATTTTGTAAACCTCTGTAAGGTCACCCCTCAGCCTCCGACACTCCAGTGAAAATAGCCTCAGTCTATTCAGCCTCTCTCTATAGCTCAAACGCTCCGACCTTCGCAACATCTTTGTAAATCTTTTCTGAACCATTTCACCAACATCCTTCCTATAGCAGGGAGACCAGAACTGCATGCAGTATTCCAAAAGTGGCCTAACCAATGTTCTTTACAGCTGCAACATGACCTCCCAACTCCTCTATTCAATGCACTGACCAAGGCAGGCAAGTGTACCAAATGCCTTCTTCACTATCCTATCTGCGACTCCTCTTTCAAGGAACTATGAACCTGCACTCCAAGGTCTCTTTGATCAACAACACTCGCCAGGGCCTTACCATTAAGTGTATAAGCCCGCCCTAATTTGCCTTTTGAAAGTGCAGCACCTCACCACACCTAAATCAAACTCCATCTGCCACTCCTCGGCCCATTAGCCCAGGTGCAGATGCCCTTGGGCAAATCACAAGTACGGCCTTAATTACAAGTGTGAGGTTTTAGAAGATGATTATGTTTTAAACTCTTAATTCAAGGTAAAGATAGAGAAATAGAGAGGGACACGTGATATTCTAGTCGTCATGAGAACTAGGGGCCCAGAACAAGTCCTATTGAAACACAATTGCCAGTTTTCACACCCGAACATTAAGGCAGAACTGGCTGGTCTGCAAGAGACTGGAGGCAGGGACAGGGAAACAACAGCAAACAGCAAAATAAAAAAAAAAATCTGTTCATTGTCAGCCATCTAGCAGAATGGGGCTAGGGACCTATTCTCTGGTTGAAGAGATACGACCTATGGAGATTTAAAGACACTGGAGATTCATCCTGATGAGAATCAGAGCAGTAGGAATCACCAGACTGCACCTTGTTTCTGGAAATCGGTTCGGGGAAATTAAATCCAGATGCTATGCTGTCAGACACAAAGGAGAGCTACAAGCAGAAGAACTGGAGGTCAAGGGGGATCATCACATAGATGCAGATATAAAGAGAAGACAACCGAAAGGTTGAAAAAGGAAGAATGTATTCTTCTAGGAAAAGGTGAGTTTTTCTGTTCAGCAAAGGAAGTAGGAGCTCCGAGAGACAAAGTACAAGCTCTGTAAAAAAAGACTGGAATGCTCTATGAGTAGCTTACAGATTCTGAAGATCTGGGTGGTTTCCCAGAAGTTCCAAACAGTGATCTGGGTATACTGGTAGTTCTGTTGAAAAGCTATACCATTAGTGCTATCAATATCAAAGGAATAGGGGATTCAAACAGTCTTGCTTATGATAATTGTACTCATGAAATTTGAAGGTGAAAGCTGTTATTGAATATGATTATTCATCTACCACATATGCATAACGAACAGCATATTGTGGAAGCATGCAGCTACATAATGCCATGTCTTTGCAGGGAATTGAGAGATTCTTAAGGTCCTATAAAATGGATCTTTCCTATATGGTCCATTTAAAGTGAAATTTCCCTCTATGTATTGTTCGCCGTTTATTCATATTTATGTTCACTTGGATTTGTACAAGTTGTAAAAAGTGAGATCTTGTTAGTAATTTCTTCTTTCTGGGTCACCAGTTTACAGCTTCCCACATGGATCCTAACTATATAATGTTTGTTCAATGTTGCTTTAAGTGACAATTACAGTAAAATCTTAAATTACAACATTCAGTTAAATGTGAATCCTTGCAAATTGTTCTGAGTCAGTCACTGGGAATTCAAATCTCTGTGTAAAGGTTATCGGTCATCGCAGAGGTGGCAAAAATTAAATTATTATTTCCTGAGATAGAGTAAATCTAAGCATAAGTTTGGCTAAAAATATTTGATTGGCATTATAAAACTGTCATTACACCTGATAGCATCAGCATGCTGTTGAAATTCAGCAATTTTTTTTCAGGTAAAGTGAAGTTTCATAATCTTGGAGAACAGCGAGGAAACGTTTCCAGAGATATCTGAAAATGATAGCCTAATTAGAGCCCTTCTGCAACGTTTAATTGGCAATCTATTCCAGAGTTGCTCCAGGTACAATATGTAACAACAGAATTTTTATGGTATCTGTCCCAGAGTTACTTTAGATGCAAGACGTAATAACGGAATATTAAAGTCTAGTAAGAGATTTATAAAATGAAGGATTTTGAAAAAGTGAACATGCAAAATCTAGTTCCTCTCATTGGGAAACACTTCAAGGAGTCAACAATTTAACACTGTTGCTAAAATAGAGAGAGATGAGGAGAATATTCTAGCACAAAGATTGCTGAAGTACAGATTTCCACAAGAACTAGCTGAGAACGAGGCCACTGCATCTTTCAAAGGAAACATTGATAAAATTGGTAGCATTGCAAGGTACAGCATTTTAAGGAGAGAGATGGGTGATACAATTATGTTTTGGATTGTTGTAGCAGAGTTAGAACAGGCCTATGAGTTGAACCGGCTTCTTTCTGTGCATTAAAGATCTATGACTCCTAAGATCAGAAGCTAATACAGTGTGAATTTGATGGGCATCAATGACACATCTTTCAAAACGATCTTGATTCTACGAATGGATGCATTTTCAGGTCTTTCTTCTTAGAATTCTCCAGACGGTCTTCAAGAAGTGCTGACTAAATATTGTTTTATTTTTGTAGAAAGCAAACTGGAATCTGGGTTTCATAAATAGGGATATTGAGTATCAAAGCAAGGAAATTATGACAAACCTGTATAAAACACGAGCTTAACCTCAACTGGAGTAGTGAGGAAATTTCAACTGACCTTAAGGAACAATGACATTATAAGGGTATAGCAGCATAATTATTATGCTGTGCAGAGGTCATGGCTTTAAACCCCATATTCAAAGTTCTGAAAATGTATTCAATAAAATGGTCATTACAGGCCAATACCAGGAAAAAGTACCACAAAGAATGCTAGATTGTTTTAACTTCATAACTGGATCAGTTATAAGTGAAGAAACTCACTATCCTACCCAGAGTGTTCTAAATGCAACGTTGGTCTCCACTGCATGGCTAGTGTTCTAGTGTTCTAGTGCTTTATGAAGTGGCCCAGTAAACAATTAACATGCGCAAATAGCTGCTCAAGAAATTGGTCCATTAGTATTTCCTTAGGCAACCAGGAAACAACAATAAATGATATTACCATTACCTAAGGCCAAGAAGAATTAAAAAAAGACAACTGACTTCAGATATTACCAACTCAATAGATGCGTTCCAAAAAGAATAAAAAAAATCTACTCATGAGGAGAGAGGGGATAAGGAAATGAGAAGATGACACAGCACAAAGTTATCAAAATAAATCTGGAAACAGCTGGGGAAAGATATACTGTTGTGAATAATGGACCAGTTTTGAATTCATCATTTCAACAAAGGTATCATATTGTTTGGGGATCATCAATTAATGAGCTAAACCTAATAACCAAGAAGTGCATAATCTGTATTTTTTCAGTTTTATTAATCAGAAGGGTCATAGGTTATGGACGAATCAGCACTTGGTTGAACACAGAAGAACACAGGACAGTACAGCACAGTACAGGCCCTTCAGCCCAAGATGTTGCACTGACCTATTATCCTATTCCAAGATCAAACTACCCTGCACACCCTACATTTTACTATCATCCATGTGCCTATCCAAGAGTCGCTTGAATGTCCCTAATGTATCTGATGGTCATCTCCAAGACATCCACCCACTACTTTGGTGCAGCAGTAAAAAATGGTGAAAGGGTGTCTAAAGCGGATTTATAAGCTTCCCTCTCATTTTCAGCACAAAGGAAAACTCGCTTTCACCAAGGACTATATTTGATGACCCATCTGAAATTGATAGATCTAGAAGAAGACAATAAAATGTCAGCCATGGATGATATTTTAGCTTAAGTGTATTTTGTGCAGTATTCCACAATTGCTTGTTATGCTGCTTGTCTCCTCTTAATTAAAAAGGGACTTTCAATAAATTCTACATAATATTATAACTTACTCACAGCACTTATTGAGAATTTTGTTTTGTACAGGTTTGTCTTCTGCAGTGTCCATAATTTAATAACATCAGCTGGTCGGTGGGTCACCTCATTTAAGAAAGAGGCAATTTTTTTTTTCTCTCAGAGGGTAGTGAATCTGTGGAATTCTTCACTGCAGAAGGCTGGGTCATTAAGAATATTCAAGTTTGAAGTAGGCAGATTTTTAAATCAGTAAGGGAATCATGGGTTATAGGGAAAAGGCAGAAAAGTGGAGTTGAAAATGGAAGGACAAGCCTTCCATCCCAGGAATTATTTAATGAACCTTTGTTGCACTGCCTCTATGGCAAGTATATCTTTCCTTAGGTAAGGAAATCAAAGCTTCACACAATGCTCCAAGCGTGGTCTCTCCAAGGTATTGCACAATCTTTCATAAAACTATAACACTCGGATAAATCAAATTACCAGATCAGTTATGCAAAACTAATTTACACTCTTCAATATTGTAACTGAACAGTCAAATTAAATGTTTTCAAAGCTCCTCAGTAAGTAACGATCCAAATTTGAATTTTCTGGCGTGGCATTTATAATATTTCTTTAAAAATCTATTTTTTTTTAAAAAGAATCCCTACAATGTGGAAGCAGGCCATTCAGCCCATCGAGTCCACACCTACCCTCCAAAGAGCGTTCCATCCAGACCCAGACCCCCACCCTATCCCTGTGACCTTGCATTTTCCATGGCTAATCCACCCAGCCAGCACATCCCTGGACACAATAGGGCAATTTAGCATGGCCAATCCACTGAACCTGCACATCTTTGGACTGTGGGAGGAAACCGGGGCACTCGAAAGAAACCCATGCAGACATGGGGAGAATGTGCAACCTCCACACAGACAGCTGCCTAAGGGTGGTCCCTGGTGCTGTGAGGCAGCAGTGCTAACCACTAAGCCACTGTGCCACCCCAATACTTTGCCAAGTATTAGTGAATTACTACCATAAATTACACATGAACAATTTGTTAAGGATGCAGAACAGGACTTCATTTACAGAGATGGAAATAGGTTAAGGGCAAATGCTTCCTAGCCTATGATTCCACCTATAGTGCAATTTGGTCAAAACATTCAATTTTTATTTATAGAAATACTAGAAATATTTATATGCAATTTTATTTTGGCATTTTTAAAAATTGGTCATGACGGTGTCCTCAATTTTCAGATGACTTTTGATAGTTGAAAACTGAGGGCAACTTTCCCTATTGCAACTCACCATTACCATTAATAACAACATGTAGTGCTAACTTGTTTCTGTTAAAGTGTCTTCTGCAAATTTATTTTCAACAACTTATCCTATACAAAAACAATTGTAGGCAGTACTACAAAGCTACCATTTTGCAATGCTGCCTCTGACCTCACTAGCTGAGATGCTTCAGGTGTCATTGGATCCACAGACCTAAAGGAAAACGTTGAAACTGAAATCAAACTACAATAAAAAAATGTGCATTATCTAGTAAGCTACAAATGAAGAAAGCTTCAAGAACGTTACCGGAAATCATTTTTGATGTTAAAGCTGGCTATATTCAATTAAAATCCCCCTTTACCAACATAAATAACACTTATGTGAAGGGACTGTGTTCGAATGTTCTGAATATTTTAGTAGTGATAAACCTGTGCTAATTCTAGAAATTTGGAAATTGATAGGAAGATTTACAGAAAGACTCATTGGTAAAAGTTCTCTTAGGAGCCTCCCACATGCAAAGTGAATACTTTCTATTCATCAAAAGAATAAAAGAATGCACTAAAATATCGAGTGCATTATCAATATTCACTTACTGTAAAACATTGACAGGCAAGAAAGGATTAAAATTTTCTAGTCCATTAGCAGACATTAAAGAACCCAAATTAGTAGTTGAAGAAGAATTTGAAGCTGACACTGAGAAGGGAATGCCGGCACTTTCCTCGGAGGAGTTACTATAGAGAGAAACTGTACTGGATGAAGTTGACGCTGCTTGAGAGTGAAGTCTTGCATTTTCTGGTAATGAGGTATCTAAAATCAGGATTTAAAAGACAATGAGTCAATATTTCTTTTGAACAAATGGCACATCTAGTAATTGATACTCAATTGAACAAATAAATCAATTTGGCTGAAGTTTGACATCATTGGCAGGAAATAAAGGTCACGATAAATTTGCTGCTATTAACTTTGTGATACATGTTCCCATTATATCAAATTCTGGTAATGGTGCCACTGATCATTTACCAAAGACCCTCAACAACTGTGGCAGTTGGTTTATTAATATGCTGTCAGTAACATTTTGATTTACTAAATCGGCTCAGGTCCAGTAAAATTCCAAAATAATGTATGCTCTGGACAACTTGTTCAAATGTAAAGAAACTCAAAAGAAAAAAATCTCCACTTACCTTTTCATTACCTTCAGCATATTTAGAAATGTCAGCAACTTCTAATTTTCTGAATTTAATAACACAATCTAATGTGCATTATTTCCAGCAAGTACAAATTTTCTTCACTGCAGTATTGAACTATGTTTTTATTGGTTGTTCCTACAAAGATTGCAGACTTTAAGAAGGCAGTTCACTGTAACCACCTCCAGTGCACCTGAAGGAAGAGCAACAAATAGTGGCCTAGCCAGCAACACACTCATTCTCTTGTATGAATAATACAAATAACTCTTTTGGTTTGCATGGCTAACCATGCATCTGTTATAAACTGATACTGGTGTCCTTTTATAAGTTTCAGCAATGCCTCCAACAATCCCAACAACTATTTTTAATTCTTTACCAACACAGCATCTTATCTTTGAAATACTTCTGATCCCTTTAACAGTCATAAAACATTCTGCTTAAAATCTTTGTTCTCTAACTTTCCCAAGCTATGACAAAATATTGCTAATATCTGGAAAGTACCTGGAAATATAATCAAAGTATCATCAAAATATCTGGAAAGTAACAATTTATTTTTGTTTTTTTTTTTAAAATCTCACATTTCCAGCATCTGGAGTATTTTGCTTTTATACGGTGCAATCTGTGATAGAAGAAGCCACACTAACTATAAGAATTATTTTTATTATGAGAGTGAGTGTATTGCTGGCCAGACCAGAATTTATTACCCATCTTGAATTGCAGGTCGTGATGGTGAACTGCCTTCTTGAAGTCTGCAGTCTTTGGGGTTTAGGAACAACTAAAGTGCTGACAGGAAGGGAAATCCAGGATTTTGACCAGTGCCACTGAAGGAACAACAATATAGTTTCAAGTCAGGATGGTGTGTGACTGACAAAGGAATTTGCAGGTTGTTGTATTCCAATGCACTGCTGCCCTTCATCATCTAGGTGCTAAGGGTTTGTGGATTTGGAAGGTGCTGTTGATGGAACCTTGGCGAGTTGCTGCACCACAACTTGCTGCTGTCACTGTTACAGTGGTGAAGAAAATAAATGTTGAAAGTTGTGGATGGAGTGCCAATCAAGAAGGTTGCTTTGTCCTCATGCCAAAAGTTCAGGATTGTTGAAGCTGCACCCATTCAGATGAACAGAAAACATTCCACCACACCTGTGACTTGTGCATTGTAGATAGTCAACAAGCGTTGGGGACATAGGCAAGTTCCTTTCTACAGAATTCCTAGCCTGTGTCAAGTTCTCATAATAGATTTATGTACGTAGCTCATCCAATTTGGTTTCTGGTCAATGTCAATTCCCCCAAAATATGAATTGTGAAGGTAGAGTTAAAGTTGCCATAGTCCCAGAGGACTATAGGGCTGCTGTGACATTAGAGAAGCTATGCTAACTGTAAGAATGGTTAATGAGTTTACTCTGATGGTTACCACATCACAGGTGAGGGGCAAGGTCAAGTAGGTGGGACCATTACGGTAATCTCACTTAAATGGAGCAGTGATGGGAATGCTGTTAAATTGCAAGAAGTTATGGCTAGATTCTCTTTTAGAACATAAAACAAAACAGGCCCTTCAGCCCACAATGTTGTGCCGACCTATTATACCACTAAGATCAAACTACCCTGCATATCCTACATTATACTATCATCCATGTGCCTATACAAGAGTCACTTAAAAGTCTCTAAAGTATCTGACATTTGACTTTGACTTTGCTGGAGATGGTTATGGCCCAGCACATCTACAGCACAAATGTTACTTGCCACTTATGATAACAAGCTAGAACATTATCTGGGTCTTGCTGCATTTGGGCACAGACTCCTCCAGAATTGGAGGAGTCATGAACGGTGCTGACATTGCACAGTGAATATTTCCACTTATGACCCTTTGATGGAGAGAAAGCCATTGACAAAATGGCTGATGATGATCAGGCTTAAGTGACTACCTTGAGAAATGATTGTGTCACTGTTACATTTTTTCCAAAGACAGTTTTAAAAACTGTTTTCTTGCTTAGTTCCCTCTAGCTAGGTTCAACAATTCACAAATACTGAAAACTCACAAATATTGAAAACTACAATTTAAAATTAATATATATGAGCTTGAAGCATGCAAGATGAGAATGAACAACATTGACAACAAGGCAACATTTAACTTCTACATATGTTATATCAGCATATCGCCTCAAAAAGCCCTCCTGGACACACTAACAAGTGTGCTCCAGCCAAGTCCCAGTGGGAACCGGAATACGAGGCAAATAAGTGCAGGGCCTGGGGACAAAAGTGTGACAGAGATATGCATGGCACAGAGTAAGAGCAGGCAAAGGGAAAGCACAGGGCTCAGAGGGACTGGAGGACTGGAATGCATTTACTTCAAAGAAGTAGGGCAGGTAAGTCAGATGAACTAAGAGCATGGATAACTGCATTGAATTATGATGTTATTACCATTACAGAGACATGGTTAAAGGAGGGACAGGACTTGGATATCGCTGCTTTAGAAGGGACAGGAAGGGAAACAAAAAGGATGGGGGAATTGCATTGCTGATTTAGGGATCACATCACAGCTGTGTTGAGGGAGGACACATTGGAGGGATCTTGCATTGAGGCTAGATGGGTGGAGCTCAGGGATAGGAAAGGTGAAATCACAATGTTGGCAGTTTTCTATCGACCTCCCAACAGCCCACGGGAGACAAAGGAGCGGATATGTAGTCAGATACTGGAAAAGTGTGAAAAGAGCAGGGTAGTTGTGGTGGGTAACTTCAACTTTCCTCTTATTGACTGGGAATCCCTCAGAGCCAAGGGACTGGATGAAGAGCAATTTACTAGTTGTGTCCAGGAGGGCTTTTCGAGGCAGTACTTTGACAATCCAACCAGACAGAAGGCCATATTAGACTTGGTCCTAGGGAATGAGCCAGGACAGGTGATTGATGTTTCAGTAGGAATCCATTTCGGGCTGATTGACCATAACTCCATAAGATTTTGAGTAGTCATGGAAAAGGACACAAGTGGCCCTCGGGCGAGGGTGCTTAATAGGGCAAGAGCCAATTGCACCCAAATTAGACAGGAACTGGAGATTGTGGATTGGAAGCAGTTATTTGAGGGCAAATCTACCTCTGGCATGTGGGAGGCTTTTAAAGACCAATTGACTAAAGTGCAGGACATGCATGTCCCTGCAAAACTAAAGGATAGCAATGGCAGGATTCAGGAACCATGGATGACAAGAGAAATTGTAAGGTTAGTCAAAAGAGAAAGGGAAGCATACAAAAAGTCTAGGCAGCTACAAACTAACAAAACCCTGGAGGAGTACAGAGAAATCAGAAAGGAACTTAAAATGCGCAATTAGGAAGGCAAAAAGGGGCCATGAAATGTCTTTAGCAAGCAGGGTCAAGGAGAATCCCAAGGCTTTTTATGCATATGTTAGGAGAAAGACGGTAACAAACGAAACAGTAGGCCCACTTAAGGACGAAGGAGGGAAGTTATATGTAGAGCTACAGGAAGTGGGGGAGATCCTGAATGAGTACTTTGTATCGGTTTTCACCGAGAACGACATGAATAATGTTGAGGTCAGGAATGAGTGTGTGAATACTCTAGAGAATGTCAACATATTGAAAGAGGAAGTTTTGGGAATCTTAAATTGCATTAAGATAGGCAAGTCCCCAGGACCAGATGGAACCTACCCCAGGTTACTGAGAGAGGTAAGGGAGGAAATAGCTGGGGCATTGGCAGACATGTTCATATCCTCATTGACCACAGATGAAGTTCCAGAGGACTGGAGATTAGCAAATGTTGTTCCCTTGTTTAAGAAACGATGCAGGGATAATCCAGGAAATTATAGACCAGTGAGCTTGATGTCAGTGGTGGGGAAGCTCTTGGAGAAGATACTGAGGGACAAGACATATGCGCATTTGGAGGAAAATGGACTAGTTAATGACAGGCAGCATGGTTTTGTCCAGGGAAGGTCATGTCTCACCAACCTGATTGAACTTTTTGAAGAGGTAATGAAGATGACCGATGAGGGAAAGGCTGTGGATGTAGTTTATTTGGACTTTAGTAAGGCATTTGATGAAGTCCCACATAAGAGGTTGGTACAAAAACTAAAATCACAAAGGATTTGGGGTGGCCTGGCTAGATGGACAGAAAACTGGCTTGGTCATAGAAGACAGAGGGTAGTGGTGGAAGGATGTTTTTCAGTATGGGGACTGGTAACTAGTGGTATTCCACAGGGGTCAGTCTCAGGTCCTTTGTTGTTTGTAGTATATATAAATGATCTGGAGGAAAATGTGGGTGGTCGGATAAGCAAGTTTGCTGATGACAAGAAAGTCGGTGGAGTTGCTGATAGTGCCAACGATTGTGAAAGGGTACAACAGGATATAGATAGATTGGCAACTTGGGCACAGAAGTGGCAGATGGAGTTTAATCCAGACAAATGCAAGGTGATGCATTTTGGAGGATCAAATTTAGATGTGAATTATATTGTAAATGGCATAACCCTTAGGAACATTAACATTCAGATGAATCTGGACGTACAGGTCCATAGTTCCCTGAAAGTGGCAACACAGGTAGCCAAGGTGATTAAGAAGGCATATGGCATGCTTGTCTTCATCGCCTGGGGCGTGGAGTACAAGAGTTGGCAAAACATGTTGCAGCTATATAAACCCCTTGTTAGGCCGCATTTGGAGTATTATGTGCGGTTTTGGTCACTACACTACCAAAAGGATGTGGAAGCTTTGGAGAGAGTGCAGAGAACGTTCACCAGGATGTTGCCTGGTCTCCAGGACATTGACTATGAGGCAAGGTTAAAAAGACCAGGATTGTCTTCACTGGAAAGATGGCGGCTCAGAGCAGACCTGATAGAGGTCTACAAAGTTATGAGAGGCATAGATAGGATGGATAGTCAGAGGCTTTTTCCCAGGGTTGAAGTTTCAATTACAAGGGGGCACAAGTTCAAGGTGAGAGGGAGAAAGTTTAAAGGAGATGTGCGAGGGAAGCTTTTCACGCAGAGAGTGGTAGCAGCCTGGAATGCACCACCAGAAGAGGTGGAGGAAGAGGGCACATTTAAGACATTTAAGAGGCACCTAAATGGGTACATGAATAGGGAGGGAATACAGGAATACAGATCGAAAAATGGCAGGTTTGTTTTTAGGTTAATTAGGGCACAATGGTCAGCATAGGCTTGGAGGGCCGAAGGGCCTGTTCCTGTGTTGTACTTTTTCATTTGTTCATATTAAGTAGAATGAAAATAGTAATGGAGATTGAGAAAAGTTGAACCTAGCTAAAGGGAACTGAGGAAGAAAACAGTTTTAAAAACAGTTCTTTGGAAAAAATGTAACAGTGACAAAATCATTTCATCAAGGAGGCCTAACAAAACTAGAGTCAACAAGAATCTAGGGGAAAATTCTCCACTGGTTGGAGTCATACCTGGCACAAAGGAAAATGATTCTGATTGGCATCACATCACAAACGTTGACTCCCTCCACCACCGATGCTGAGCAGCATCAATGGATAACATTTGCAAGGTACACTACAAAAATTCACCAAGGCTTCACCTTCCAATCAATAATTGCTACCATTTTGAAGGACAAGGGCAGCAGACACATGGAAATAACACCACCTACAAATTTTTCACCGTTTGCATCGTTAGCCTCCGGTGATGTCCCGGAAGACTAGAGAGCAGCAAATCTTGTGCCTTTAGTTACGGAGGGTCCTGACTTGGCAATATATCACCCTTCATTCAGCGTTGCTGGGTCAAAATCCTGGCACTCCCTTCCATCAGCATTGTGGAAGTTCCTACACCAAATGGACTACATCGGTTCAGGAAGTTAACTCATCATCACCTTTTCTAAGGCAGTTATGGATGAACAATAAATAGTGGTCTAACCAGTGAAGCCCCATCCCCTCAATGAATATATAAAAACAATGACTATTGTCACATTAAAGAAACCATATTATTTTATGATTATTAATATTCAAAACAAGTTAAACAATAAAACTTGCACTTGTATAGTCCATAGTGATTCAGTAAACTCCAGAGCTCTTTACAGCCAAAGCAGTATTTTTGAAATGTAATTACTATTGTAATTTTTGAAAGGCAGGAGTTAATTGACATGCAGCAAGCTTTTAGAAACACAATGTGATAGTAATGGGAATATCATTATGTTTCTAAGAGCTTGTGTGTCAATTGAGGAATAAGTTTTGACTAGGACAACTGGGATCTTTTTCAAAATAGGGTATTGGCAGTGAAGAATTCCCTCAGTAGTGCACAGGAGAGTCAGCCTTAATTTCTGAAATGGCACTACAGCCACACCACCTGACAAAATCAATAATTTGATATTTTAGCTAAAGAGGCCAAACTTGGCCTTTCTAAAAACATCATTCACAAGATGCGGGTGTCATTGGCCAGGCCAACAATTATTATCCATCCCTAATGGAGTCAAGTGTCAACCACATTGCTGTGGGTCTGGAGTCACACTTAGGCAAGACCAGGTAAGGACAGCAGTTTTCTTCCCTAAAGGACATTGCATGAATTGTAATCATCTAAGAGGAGAGCATCTCTGTTAACCTGGAAAGTGCAGCACAGCAAAGAGTGAGATACATGTTCACATGTGGGTTTTTAAAAAACAGATTAATGGTGGAACATGAGAATTAAAGTAAATTTAAGTATACTAAAGGAAAAAGAATAACTAGAGAGAGAATAGGACCTCTCAAGGGCCAAAGTGGACATGTATGTGTGGAACCGCAGGAGGTGGGTGAGGTCCTCAATGAATACTTCTCCTCTGTGTTTGCTGTTGAGAAAGACACGAAGACTTGGGAAAGTTAGCAGTGATATCTTGGGGACAGTCCATATCACAGTAGAGGTGGTGTTGCAAGTATTAGAATGTATGAAGATAGATAAGTTTCCTGGTTCTGATCAGATTTATCCAAGCACCCTGCAAGAGGCTGGAGAAAAAATTGCGGGGGGCCTGGCTGATATATTTGCATCATTGTTAGCCACGGGCGAGGTCCCGGAAGACTGGACAGGAGTAAATCTTTTGCCTTTATTCAAGAAGGGCTGCAAAGAAAACCCTGGGAATTACAGACCAGTAAGCTTAACATCTGCGGTAGGTAAGTTACTTGATTAGATTCTGACATACATGCATTTAGAAGACAGGGTTTGATTAGGAGTAGTCAGCTTCATGCATGGGAGATCATGCCTCACAAATTTGTTACAGTTCTTTGACGAAATGTTGATGAGGGCAGGGCAGTAGACATAATCTATATGGATTTCAGTAAGGCTTTTGATAAGGTTCCACATGATAGCCTGCTCTGGAAGGTTAGATCATATGCAATCCAGGGAGAGTTGGCAAATCGGCTACACAATTGGCTTAATAGTAGGAAGCAAACAGTAATACTGGAAGGATGCTTGTGGACTGGAGGCCTGTAACTAGTGGTATGCCTCAGGGGTCAGTGCTGGGCCCATTGCTGTTTGTTATCCATATCAATAATTTGGATGAGAATGTACAAAGCATGTTTAGTAAGTTTGCGGATGACACTAAAATAGGTGGTATCGTAGACAGTGAGAAGGTTATCAGAAATTGCAGGAGGATCTTGATCAACTGGGGAAGTGGGCCAAGAAATGGCAAATGCAGTTTAATATAGATAAGTGTGAGGTGTTGCATTTTGGAAAGCCAAATCAAGATAGGAGTTTCATGGTGAATGGTAGGGCCTTAAGGAGTGTAGTGGAACAGAGGGACCATGGAGTTCAGTGCACGGTTCTCTGAAAGTGGAGTCACAGGTAGACAGGGCAGTGAAGTAGTCTTTTGGCACACTGGCCTTCATCAGTCGGGGCACTGAGTATAGAAGTTGGGAACAAAATCCAAAAGAACTGCGGATGCTGGGAAGTTGGGAAGTTATGTTGAAGTTGTACAAGATATTGGTGAGGCCGCGCTTGGAGTATTGTGTTCAGTATTGGTCACCTTGCTATAGGAAGCATGTTATTAAAGTGGAAACAGTGCAGAAGAAATTTACAAGGATATTGCCAAGACTCAAGGGACTGAGTTATAGGGAGAGGTTGGACAAGCTAGGAAGTTTTTCTTTAGAATATAGGAAACTGAGGGGGGATCTTATAGAAGTGTATAAGATCCTGAGAGGCATGGATAGGGTGAATACACTCAGTCTTTTTCCCAGGGTTGGGGAATCGAGGACTAGCATCAGTTTAAGGTAAAAGGGGAAAGAACACATGGGAACCTGAGGGGCAACTTTTTTTTTTTTTTTTTTTTTATTTAGAGGGGGTGGTAGGCAAATGAAATGAGCTGCCAGCGGAAGTGGTTGAGACGGGTACATTAACAACTTTTAAAAGGTATTTGGATGAATACATGGATAGGAAAGGTTTAGAAGGATACGGGCCAGCTGCAGGGAAATGGGGTTTGCGTGGATGGACATTCTGGTCAACATGGACCAGTTTGGGCCAAAAGCCCTGTCGCCATGCTGTAATACTCTATGACTCTATGATCTGCCAACTCTGAAATGATTTGTATTTTGAATTCAAAGTAAAACAGCACTGCTGCTATTTCTATTGAAAATATAGCACACAAAACTGGTTAGATCTGTCTCTACTGACATACTCTAGTGACCAGCATCATTTCTCAAGCAGATGTTAAGCCACTGAAAAAATGTAGTCTCACTATATTAGGGAATTTAAAAAAAAATTCTGGATGTAGTCGAGATCAATGCAACTGGTTCTCTGAAAGGGTAAGAGTACATTTCTTATTTGTTGAACAAAATGTGTTAATTCTTAAGTGAGGCAATCATAATAAAATATTCCATAGGGGATGGGTACCAAAAATTACAGTACAATAACGAGGAGAGGCAATTCTAGATAAATGTTTCTTACCTTTATTCTCCTTAATTCTGTAATCTCCCACCAGGGAATCCAAAGCACACTTGAAGATCATGACATGTGCACGTTCTAGATCAGCGAGCGAAATTACTCGTTTAATTGGGCATGGCCGCACAGCCCATTTTACCATGCACCTCATTAAGTAATGAAGAACCATTCTAAGTTCCGTATTCTCTATGGAGCTGGAGGAAGGTTTGGCACATTCTGAACTACTCTGACTACTTGCAGTGATATTTGGAACAAGGAGCAAGTCAGCATATTTTCCATAACTCAGTATGGCACTAAGGGTTTTCATGGCCCCAACAGAGATGTATGAAAGTTGCACAGCACGTAGTTCAGCTAGGAATAATTCATGGCTTTGTAAATTCCGGTCACATGAGCTCTGACAGTTTTCAATTAAATCACCATCCACTTTAAAATCACATCCTTTCTCAGCCTCATTTTCTTCATTTTGATCCGTTACGGTTTTTGTGAGTACATTTGATGGTTCTCTGTTCTGTAAATTGGTGGGGTCTTTGTGGTCATCATCTGCCATAAATTTTGCAATTTCATCATCCAACTTTTTTTCTAACTCGGCCTTGACAACTTTCTCGGCTGAGTCTTTATTTGGCGTCACCTTGCTGCTTATTTCAGGTTCTTCATGGACTCCAGTCAAGTAGGTCAGATCCAGTAACATGGCAGATTTAAGACCATGAAATCTTGTGACATCAAAGTGGTAAGGCTTGCATGGCTCCAGTGTAGAGAGTGGTGTGTCACTGGGAGACCAAGAATTCAGGAAGCTTTATTAGCAGATGTTATAACATAACGACGAAGGGAGATTGAAAGCGAAAAAGAAAAATAAAAAAAATTTGTAAAGGAGAAAGTAAAATAGATGTATTAAAGAACATGGATAAAAGAAGTACAGAAATGAAATAGATACAAATTGGATAGAAATAGTAGTAAGAGTCAAAATTAAATAGAAGCAATGCCTTTATATTTATAATGTCATGCATTCAGAACAAAAATGCCAGATTCACATCGTCAGACAAACAATTTTTTTGTTAATTTCTTATTGTTAAGATTGTATGATCATTTCAACCTAGACTATTTCAAATTCTATACATTCCATTCAATTCACCTACGATTCACTTGAGCAAATCTGAAAAAAGTTGATCAGACAAATCTGCAGAGGGGTAAACCTATCCCTAAAGCGAAATATATTACTATGCTTGGGGACGAATCTTGACTACACTAGCTGAAAACTAATTTCTTCAGAATATTTTAAATTATTGTTATCCATTATTAAGATTGTAATTAAGCTAGTAACTTGGCAGTGTAACATGAAAACCAACAGAAATCCAGTGTCAAAACTAAAAACAAAGCAGTATATACAGCACACTAAGGGAAGTTTACTTAATATTGATTGTTACACACTATATTGTTATATGAACGTCATTCTGACGATTGCTTTGTATCTTTTCAAGATGGCAGCTATTCCTAATGTACTTATCAGGTGAACAAAGCCCACACTATAAGTTTTCCACATGTTCCTCAGTTCTGAGGAAGGGTCACCGGACCTGAAACATTAACTGACTTCTCTTCACAGATGCTGCCAGACCTGCTGCGCTTTTCCAACAACTTCTGTTTTTGTTCCACATTAAGACTTATATTCTCTCCCACTCCCTCATCACACCCCCAATCCACCTCCAATTGAGTCCACCTACACTCTTATCCTTCTGTGATGGATAGAATAGCTGGGTGACCTCTTCCCACTATGCTGACATTTCCCATGTCGATGCAATACATTAATTTCTAAACTGATCTTAGATTTGTACCTGATAGTGATTTCCACATCTTCCCACTGTAGTCTTGCAGAGGTGCCTCTTTCTTTTGTAACTCCTAAAAGGGTTGCTCTGCGCCCTGAAGGCTTATGTATGCAATGACCACCGACACGGAGCCCACAGTCAATTCCACCAACAACTGCCAGAACAGGCCATACTTCTCTGCACAACATTCTTAGCTGTAGCTCAGCTAAATCTGTGATGCCTTGGGCCTTATCTTCACCCTTGAATAATTTATCTTCTTGTCCTCTCGTTTCTTTGTCCTCAAAGGTATTTTTCTTTACTGAGTATTTACTTCGAGATTTATTCAGCTTCAAAATTTTTGCTTCTTTCATTATCGAACCAATCAGTTCAAGCCTACAAAGCATTTGGTGGTTAATCGCAGGCATCCAGTTGTCATGGCTATGCAGTTTTCGGATCAACTGGACAGTCGCTTCTGCCAGTACAGTTAACAGAGGACTACAAAATGGTTCACCAGGCAAGAGGTCTCGACAAATTCCACGCATCTGCATGTCACAAAGTGCGACCTGAAATAAAGGGAACATTGACAGGCTTTCCACGGGAAGTAGAGTAAATGGGCTGCACAAGTGTAACTATCAGGCAAATCACAGGAACACTGACTTCATTAGCCTTGATTTACATAAAACCCAGATAAAAATGACATATATAAATCGATTTTACAAGACACACTTCTTAAAACACAGTTTAGCACTTAAATCTTTTGTGCATAACAGTAACTACATTCCCTATTTCTAATAGCTAAATGAAATGCACATTAAAAAAAAGGTGGTAACCCTAAGATTTTCCACAGGTCTTCAAAAAGTCTAAATATACTAAAATACTTCTGACTACAATACAGTGATAATTCAAATGAATAAATAACAATTTATAAATGTATGTACATTCGTAGAATTCAAAATTTACTCACCCATAACTCTAAAAACAAATGGACTACTAAATTAAGCATGTTTGTTACCCAGAAGGCATCACCATAAGATCCCACATTTACACATTGAAAAAGAAATGTTAAAATATACCATTTTATGGAATGTTGAATTACATGCCAAAGTTATAGGAAGTACTATTCGCCTTTGCCACTTTGGGGAAGATACAATCTTTATCATGAGTTGTCCGCACTTTCAGCTACCGACATCACATCTAACATTTCTTTCTGCGCCAATGTCCTTAGATGTGTTATTATTGCCCCCAAATGTGCACACATCTTTGTTGCACCTTCTTAGTTATACCCCTTTGAACAGGTTTCTGCTCTGCCACTGTACCAAGATAACATCTGTTAAAGTCTAAAATGGCCATCCTATGTGACTGTAACTGTGATAATCCATCCCTTCTCACTTCTCTGGCTGCAGCTGACCACACCATCTAATCAAACCGAGCAGCACCTCAGCTGTAGACTTGCAGGTTACAGTATTTCAGATGCAGAATCAGTTACATTTTAAACAAGTTAAGGGCTTCTTCTTCCACCAAACTTCAAGAAGGTATGTCCCTTGGGTCCTCTCATATTATGCTATTTGTATCTAATATTTCACACTCTTCCTGTAAACAGAATGTTTGCATCATCCTGTCCCTTCTATGAAGACGGAGACAAAATGCTCGTACAAAGTACTGAAGTATTCAGTAGTACATTGTCACTGATTTTCCTTCAAGTTGCTGTCTTTCCCCAGTTTAGAACC